TTCCCGGCAAATTATTTTAGCATTACAAAACAATCCTCCTAATATACAACAAATAGGAATGGTAGGATACGGGCCCCTAATATTTTATGGACGTCCTGGAGAAGATCCAGAAGATTGGCTTAGAGACATGCAAAGATATATAATAGCTAGTCGAATAAATGTTGCACCTGGTGCAGGTCAGGCTTCCAGAAGAGAGGAGGCATTTGGATTAGTAGTATCATGCCTTGCAGGTGATGCACTGAATTGGTATGATACCCGCGTTAAGGGTAAAAATTGGAGATGTAATAATCTTTCAGATAATTTAGGTGTAGCAGACTTGAATGCTGTTCGAGGTTTGGCCGCCGGAAATAATGCTAATCAAATTGGTGGTTTGAATACTACTGGAGAATTTCAAGGTAAGGCGGCCGCCGAAATTGGTAGAATTGGAACAGGAGTCGCAACTGGTGCTGATATTATTCCGAATGGAACATGGGATGAAGACTGGTCTATAGCTGGTGGCGAACCTGTAGATAATGCACCAGTAGCACCTAACGCTGGTGGTGGTTTACCTACTGTTACAATTGCTCCCAGCATCAAACTTGGTCAACTCCTTTACCTGTTTAGAACTGCCTATACAATAGTCGAACACTTAAAACAAACGGCTGTTTTTGGTCAACTCATACAAGGTGATATGTCAGTTGAGCAGTTTTCTGCCCGAATCAAAAAGATTGGTAAATTAGCTGAAATGACTCCCGAACAGCAAAGAGAGCAATTTATTCGTGGCTTAAATCCTATGAACCAATATAATATTCGAATGATGGCTAAATTTTATGATACACAGGATAATATTATAAAAGCCCTGGCCGAAGCGGAAAAATATACATTATCTCAAATGAATGCATCATTTTCTATTCCAGTTTTTCCGGCGGCCAATCCTTACGTAGATACTAACAGATCAGGAGGTGGGATGACTAAAAATGAAATCGAGGACTTGATAAAAACCACAATGGCTTCCTCACAGCCCCAGCAAAATACTGATTTACAAGCCATAGCTAAATCCTTTCAAGAGACTATGTCTCGAGCAACTAAGACTTTAGATAATAGTAAAAAATCGGCCAATAAGAGAGGGGAAGACCTTATTATTAGACGATTTTTAAGTGAGTTACTAAGGACAAAATCAAATAAGCAACCTGAAGATGATTATAATTATGACTCTGTGGATAATATTACTAACAGTATGGCCGGCATGACACTAAATAGTGCCACAATAGATGCTATTAATTCTGCTGTTAGAAGTGCTGTTAAGAAATGTACCAAGTGTGGTAGATTTGGACACACTTCCCGTAAGTGCCCTCGAAAGAAGAAAAAGAAAAGCAAGAAGTCGAAGAAAGATAAGGTCAATCTCGCTATAGAACCAGATTCAGATTCAGATTCTTCTTCAAACGATACTTCTTCTAGTGATAGTTCCGATTCTGATACAAGTTCCTCTAATTCTTCCGATTCTAAGACCGTGCTTAATGTTAAAATGGATAAGCTAAAAAAAAAGTAAAGCAGGAGAGTGAATCCGAGAAATTATCCTCTAAAGAGATGTCTAGTGCCAAGCTGAGAGAAATACCACTAGAGGAGACTATTCGTAAAGTCCTCCATAGTGAGCTTAAACTAATCTTCCCCCCACATTTTTTCCAAGATTCTGGTCTCATTGCGTTCAAACAGATAGTGGCTCCTATGGAGCGTGCCTCCGGTCAAAATGACACATCGGCATCTTCCAATGATTTATTTTCGGATGAGTCTAGTCAAGAAGAGGAGTCTTTAGATGGTCCTATGGAGATCGATTTCGTCAAGAAGAAGGAGCCAAAAACGAGTGTTGCTACTGTAAAGTGCAAAATCAAACGCTTAAAGATTCTAGCCATGACTCTTGACTCCGGGGCGGAGCCTCTGATTATAACAAAGAATATTGTTGTTCGTGTTAACGCTAAAATAGATGAATCTGAAAAACACGACCTTAGCGGTGTCGCTACTGTCCCTATTGAATCTATTGGTATTGTCCGCAATTTACCAATTACTTTAGCTCCGGGGCTTACTATTTACGAAGATTTTATAGTTGTAGATTATCATAAGCCAACCCTAATATTTTCTAACCAACTCTTGAAGAAATATAAATGCGCAATGGATTGGGATACCAACGAGCTAAAGATCTCTCTGAATGGAAAAGATTATATTATTCCGGTCACTATGCATAAGGTCAAGAATAAGCTCGAGGTGAATTGTGCGACCACTATTCCCGAATGTGATGATTCCTCGACTCCAGACAAAATTTCGCAGGACTTAATCGAAGATGGTACATTTAAAAAAAAGTGAGTTATGAGGAGCTTGAAAAAATGCTATATAGCACTCTTAAGTCTAAAGAAAATCTTAACAGACTATGTGAGGAGTTGTTATCACGCTATATCGAACTAAATGAAAAACATCTTTTACATGGCTAGTATCCTATTTATTCCTTCTGTGACTTTTTCACCTCTCTTATCTTCTTTCTCATAAAATGCTCCTAATTTCTCATTGCTTATATTTAAACCTTTTGAACTTATTGAAGCTAGTGGTATCTGAATAACAGGTGACTCAGAGATGTGAACGGATTTAGACTTAGTTTTTTTTCCTCCGGTCTTTTTCACCTTATTCCCCAAAACAACATTGCATTCTACAGGATCTGCTTGCTGATACGTATCAGATTCTTCTGAAAATGGCTTTATATCTTTAGGATCTATTTGTGGATGGACTCCTCTCCAAATTTGATATACCCGTCGTGTTGATATTTTGTATTTATTAGCCATGGCTTCTGATGCCCGTTTCATTGAATTTTTGGCTTTAATAATATCCTGAATATCTTCAGAAGATAGACGGGTTGCATCTGAGCGCAAATACCTAATCATTTTACAAATGGATAGAAAAAATCTTTCGAAAAAATACCGATATATTTTCGGTATTCATTCGATTTTCGTTCGATATTATCAATATATTTTCGGTAGATTCGATAAATTCGATTCATTCGATCCATCCGATTCATTCAGTATATTTGGTACTATCGATATATTTTCGGTAGATTCGATCCAGAAATTTTTAGTCATATTTTTTTTACTATAGTAACAGTTAAGCCGAAAAAAAAGGCTATGACCAATGTATATACTTTGAAAGATATCAATAATAAAAGTGATTGTTCCTTTAGGGGGGTCGGTCAACGACTTGGTGGTGCATATGAGCAAGAGTTTAAAGAAAAATTATATTCCGCTCTCAAATCTAAAGCCGAAATTAATGATCTCAGCGAAAAGCTGATAGATAAGTACAATGAGCGAGAAAAGGAGTTTGAAAATAAAGCTAGCCAGTTAATTGCATCCACTACTAAAGTTAGATCCCAACTTATTTCTGAACAAAAGTCTCATTCTAAGAGTCAACGTGAGCTTGAAGCCAAATATACTGCCGAAATCCAATCGCTCAAATCAGAGATTAAAACACTGAAGAGAAAGGCGACTTTGACCCAGAAAGCTTCGTCCGTTGACAAGGATACGATTCTTTCTCTTGAAGCTAAAGTACGTGAATTGGAAGGTAAGTCATCCGATCCTAAAGAGATCGATTCTCTTAGGCTTGAATTAGAACGGGTAAAGGAGGACCTTAATTCCAAAAATCATGAAATAGAATGTATGGAAAAAGGGATAGAAGCGACATATGAGATAACCAGTCGGGAAATAGATGCTTTGAGAAAGACGCGATTAAATTCAATGGAGAAAAATAGGTCCCTTAGGGATCAAATCTCAAAAAAAGATAATGAGATAGCAGATCTCTCTAACCCGCCATCTCCCTCTATGAATGATTCATCACAAAAACTACCAGGCTAGATCAGTGATGATCTAAGACTTCTCGTCTATAAACGTGGTCTTGAAGATAAAGTTATAAAACTTGACAAAGAGTATGCTAAGGAAGATATTTTAGAGGCTTTGCAAGAACTATTACTCTGAGATAGGGTAGTTTCGAGAAGCCAAACAGATATCCTACCCAATCAATCCGTTCATAGTCAACCAGCACATTCTGAAAAGTCTATTTCAAGAGAAGGGGTTGTGAAGCAATCAAGTAGCGCAGAAGTAGTACCATTACCTCAAGTAATACCTCTAGCGGGTCCCTCTAAAACCGCACCAGTCGTTAAAAGTTCTTTAATGCCATATGCCATACTTGCTTTACTACTGATTGTGATTATATAGTTCGTGATCAAGAAATGGTGAAATTCAAGGAAAAAAAGTAATACCGAGTATTCTCCTAACCAGAACTATTTTTTATCATCTCTAAGTATTTCCAACGTTGGGCTATATGATTAGAGACACGCTTGTCACTGAAATTCGAAGATAGAAATTGAAGTTAGCCAGTATTATTACATGAGAAAAGATATATAAATAATATTATGCGAAGCGCTTTAACGCCTAAGTTTCTTAGCTGAAATTGCCACATCTCGCTAAGAGTACTTATCCATATAATTCGATAATCTCGTCTATATCTGATTCAGATGAATCATCTTTTTTGCTATCCTGTAATTTTGACAATGTTCAGTAGCATGTGATTTCTAGGCCAACCACTTTGTACCATATGTTTCAGAAATCTGCTAGTAGCTTATACTCATCCAAATAATATGATGTTAAATATTGTTCTAAGGACATTGCTCGCTTCTTAGTAACTAATTTATACATACTTTCTCTATACTCTATATCAACCTCAAAAATTTCTTTAAGCAATGATGAAAGTTTTAAGCAGATAGATTCCTCTTACTTATCTAACGTATTAAAAAAGAAAGTGTAATAAGCATTATATCCTGAATGTTTTTCTATTTTATTAGTATAAGTAGTATCGAATAATTTTTTTGCATAAATGCTGGCTCCTTTCCATAGATGAGATATGATGGCTTCATTTTTTTTCAGGCCTTCATGAAGGTTTTTGATATAGTCTCTAACCTACTTTTCAGCCGATTTCTGCACTAGGGTATCTCTTATTTTCGATATCTCATCTTCATCCAATTCGTCTTCATCCTCTTCGTCTTCGTTCAGGTCATCTTCATCCACCCTACCATCATCCGCTTTATTGTCACCCGCTTTATTACCATCTTTTAACTTTTTTAAGACTTCCAGCAAAGTTTCAGATGATGACTGATGCATATTATCATAATTTATAAAACGTGCACAGAGCCTGACAACACTTTTCAGATAATAGTTAATATCAACCTTTTTTCCAAGACGTCTTGCCACTTCTGGATACTCTATTTTGTTACCTACCTTCTGTGATGAATCATTCTCAACTATAACATATTCAAAGCGTTTGCCTGGTTCCGGGATTTTATAAAGATAAGGCTCAGGTGTTAGGCCCTTTTTTATGAGCCGTTTGGCATCTGCCTCTTCACGGGTATATCTATCTTGCATTCGTAAAATAAAGTACTGTACACTCTTATTATTTTTATCGGGCCTCTATACAGCAGTTTTTATTATTTTATTAAGATCTGTCTGCGAAATATCCCTTACAGTCTCTTTGAGTACATCCTTTACAACCCGATGCAAGGTACGTGTATTGTTTACTCTCATAGATTCTTCCATAATACGTTTTCCTATTTTGCGAAAAATACCAGACTGTTCCTGTTTTACAGTCTCAACTCCCGAATGAAAAGCTTATTATTAAAATTCGGCCCTTTTATATGCGAAATGCCGTAGTATTTCTTCTTTCCAGTAAATGTTACAGGGAATAAAACTTCTTCATACGCCATTTTGAAATAAAGGGAACCGTTATTTTTCCTGAGAAAGTCATTGACATCATCGCAAAGTTTTCCAATTACTTCCATAGAAATTTCCACCATTCTAGACTAATATTCTTCTATCGGGATCCCATTACTACTGTCATATGGCTAATCACATTCCTGAAAGCATTCTTCTGGGCAGATTAGATATAAGGAATCAGTATCCCATATTTTATCTGGAAACCCCTACTTTTTACGAAATCTGCAACAAGTTTAATATTTTTCTGCCCGGCAGATGTGACACTTCCAGCAAGTTCACGCGAGAAGAAAGGAGATTTACTATCTCCAGCTGTACCATAAAATGAATTCATATATACCTTAAAAGCATTTTGTTCTGCATCTAAATAAGAATAGTCAAAACAAACTGAAATGTATTCTGCCATGAATTTATGCTTTTCTATATTAATAAAATAGTATAGTTTTTTACTAAGACTGGCACGTTTTTTTCCCTCTACATTTGCTAAAACCTGCTCGATAGCTTCTGATAATGATAAACCTTTACCCATTAAACCTATTACCAATTCCATGTCTTCTTTTTTATCTTTCAGAGGAGCGAGACGTTTTTTCACCTCAATCCGTTTATGATATAAATATTCCAGCACATTGGCATAGAGACCCTTTTCTTCAGGAATGTTATTATATCTTATAAACCATGCAATAACATTATTACCATTGAATTTGAAATTAATTTCATGAAGCATTTTGCCACTGTCTCTCAGAGACTCAGCATGTTTTCGAGATAAAATAATTTTATTGGATGAGAGGTTGTAAGTCATAATAAGACTCAGATATAATGATGCAAAGTTTAAGCCAGTTATAGGACGTCTATTTTCGAGTTCTTTTATTGGTGGGAAGACGTAGGCACCTGAAAATAATTCTGTTTCTGTTTGTTCTGAAATTATACTGGTTAAAATCCCTTTTCGCCATGCACTA